CAAGTTCCCCAGACTGTGCACACTTGGGTTGAGACATTCCAGTGCTCCCAAAGATCTGCATCACTCTTCCTCAGTCTACTCTTTATGGAATCAGTTCATAGTATAGGCAGTTACAGAGTGCTATCCCTGTGCATTCAACATGCAATAAGTTGTGATTTACCTAGCGGTGGCACCTAGGTAGCTTTCAGCCTATTGGACAATCATAAAGAATGTTTCTACAACCTAAATGCCCCTTGAGCGAAGAATGGATAAAAGAAAATGTGGTACATTTACACATTGGAGTACTACAGAGCAGAAAAAAAATATCTTGAATTTTTCAGGAAAATGGATGCGTTTAGAAAACACTGTTTTGAGTGAGGTAACCCAGACAGAGAAAGACAGTTATCACATGTACTTACTCATAAGTGGTTTTGAAACATAAAGCAAAGAAAACCAGCCCACAAATCACAATCCCAGTGAACCTGGACAACAATGAGAACACTAAGAGAGATATACATAGATCTAATCTATATAGGAAGTAGAAAGTAGAAAAAGACAAGATCTCCTGAATAAATTGGGAGCATGGGGACCTTGGGGGAGGGTGGAAGGGGGGTGGGGAAAGACAGGGAGGGGAGCAGAGAAAATGCAGAGCTCAAAAAAAATTAATAAAACATTAATTAAAAAAGAATTTTTCTAAGAACATCAGAGTAAATGTCTTTTGTTGATGGCCCACATATGTCCATTGGGAATGAAATTAAATTTGTGGTTCCTATGGTATTTGTTTAGTTTTATTGTACTTAGTTTTCTAAAGTGTTGACTTGAGTTCCCATCAATGCACAAATGCACCACAGCTCCACATCTCTCATAATCCACCAACTCTAGTGGCTATTTAATGTGTTTATCTATCACCTTGCACAAAACTCAAGTCCAAATGGATCAAAGACCTCAATATCAGTCCGAACACACTGAACCTGATAGAAGAGAAAGTGGGAAGTACCCTACAACAAATGGGCACAGGAGATCGCTTCTTAAGTATAACCCCAGCAGCACAGACACTAAGGACAACATTGAATAAATGGGACCTACTAAAGCTGAGAAGCTTCTGTAAAGCAAAGGACACTGTCACTAAGACAAAAAGGCAACCTACTGACTGGGA